ATGAGGGGAGCCCGCGAGGGTCGAGATAGAGGCGTCTTCTTCTTGTTCTTCTTGCCTCGCGAGGAGGCTCAAAAGCAAATACGTTTACGTCTCGCGCTCGGCTGCGCAGATGTTTAATAACGTCGTTAGAAACGCCGAGGGCTCGGAGTACCTACTTACGGTGCAACGATTTTTGCGGCCAGCGAGGAATTGCAAATTTTCCTCCAAAAATTTTCTTTTTTCTTTTTTTTTCTTGTTTTTGAACATTGAAAAGACTATACGAAGTACGACAAAAACTTTGTCTACGCGATGGAAATTACAGGCGATTTAGTTTGTTGAGAAATTATCTGCTGTCGATTTCCAAGAAACCAGTACAAGTCGCAAAGTAATTGAAAAGTGTAAAGCATACATACCTGGAACACTGATTGCGTAATTGAATTTCAACTAGCGAATCAGTTCAAAAGTTTGTCAGTACTTTCTGAAAAAATAAACAAACAGAAAAAAATAAATAAAAAAGCTAAAAAAGAGGGTCTAGATGATATTACTTTTCAAAGTATTGATTTGCTTGCCGGCAAATTAAAACGCTGTCCTAATGGATATTGCATTTTTCAATATTTATGAAGTAAATGTGAAAAATACTGACGGGTTATTATTTTCATATTTCACCGGTAAACAGATTATATCGTAAAAATCTCATGTAACGTGTCCTGCGAAACGTCATTTTCGTATTTTCTTTTCATCCAAATGGATTTTAATTGTTTGCATTATTATTTTACGCCCCGACGAGTTTCGACCGTCAACCGAGCCAAAAGCACTTTGACAAAATTAATTTCGCTCCAGCGCCCTTTTGAAAGCTCGTCAATTTGGCGTTTGATGTTTTAAAAACATTTTCGCGCTGATTACTTTTTTTTTTTTTTTTTTTTTTTCTGCTCGTTGTAAAATACAATAACCCACCGTTTTCTCGCAACGACCCACACGTGTACACAGATCCAACCGAACGAAAAACAAACTCCCTTTCAACGAGACGCGAAATCGCGATCGGCGCGTTATCAATCACCCCCGCCCCCGTCCGAGGTAAAGTACAGGCTCGGGTTGCCATCCCTCCCGCGCTGCAAAATAAGGGGTAAAGAAAATGAGGAAAAATCACGCGCGAATCTATTTTTCGCCAACTGATACGGCCTGATTTATCAACGCGCTCTCACCCTCTCTCGGTCGCGATATTCCGAGTCGTTATTGTTGCGCGTCGGCTCCCTCCTCCACCGACGACGCGGATCTGAGCTGCGAAGCGCACACAGGAATGTATGTACATACGTGCGCGCGCGCATGACTTATTACCTTTCGGGGGACATCAGTCTTGCGAGATCGCCCGGAGCGCGATACGTTTCCCGATGTGTCTACCCCCTCCCCTTCTTTCGGCAAGCGAGCATCGACTTTTCGCTTCTTACGAAAAAAAAAAACCCGGGTTTTTATTTCACCCCCTCGCTGCAGGTGCGTCCCCTGTACGGCGAAACTCAATGCCCTAACAAGGTCTCGAAAGCCCCCAAGTTTCCTCGGACTACTGGCAATCTTGACCATCTAAAACTTTCCATCGTCTCTGCACACGCGCACGCAAACGGCAAAAATCTTCCCCGCCACCCCCTAGTGGCAGCGCGATACCGGAAGGAGCCGAGATAAAATAAAATTCAGTTATCGGAGGGGGGGGGGTGTTCGAGACCAGCTCGCGCTTGGGAGACTTTGGGGAATAAAAATATATCTACGACGGCCAGCCGAGCGGTGAATGGAGAAGGGGGTCGGGGTGCGTATTGTGGTCAAGTGCCGTGGCGGAGAGAAAACTGCGATGGCCAAGTACAAAAGGCCATGGATTGAAAGAGACGTTACGACGACCCCTGGCTCCGGGGGGTTGGTCGGTACACGCCGAAGGACAAATTCCTGGGGATTTATATTTTTCCTCTCTCTTTCCTTTCCACCCTCCCGCGCGAGGGTGGTACAGATATATCGGCAAAATTGTTCCGTCGAGGCGCAATTAAAATGCGCGACCCGTTTATATTATTTATAATATATATTTTTCCGATCTAGAAACACAACGAGGGGAGCGGGTGGGGGGAAAAAAAGAAGCAAAATCAAAAGGACGGTGTTCCAAAGAAAACCCACGGCTGTATGTGTTTGTCCGGGCGCGCAATGGTCTTGCCGGACCGGGAAGAAAAAAACGTAAGAATATAGCCGACAAGTGGAGGGCCATTGTCCTCGGCACGAGAGTTCCATTGTCGAGCGCGGGGGTGGTGCATCGTTTCGAGGCTTTTTTAGTCGATATAATTAGTGTCGCGGTGGATAATTCGGGAGCCGATAGCGAGTACAAAGAATAACACCCCCCCGTGGGTGGGTTGGGTTTGAAGGGAAGGAAGAAAGACGTTTGCGGCGGCTGCTGGATAAAAGGGGTGGAAAAAAAAGGGAGGGCGGGTCGTCGGACCGTGGATAGCGGCGAGTTTTACGAGGTCGGCGTGCTAATGGCCTTAAGACAAAGGGGGAAGTGCACTCGGCTTCTTCTGCGGGGTTTTGAGAAAGCCGAGCTCGGTCGCATTGTTGGCCGGGCACCGCGGAAGGGAAGGAAGCGCGCGCCCGACTTTTCCGTGCGGACGCGGCAGTGCCGGAGACACTCGCCCCCGTGAAATGTGCATCTTCTGTCCTGTGTACGTGGGGGCTTCGAGGTCGACCGAGTTATTATCACTATCGTCCAACCGAGAGACGCGCCCTCGTAAAGGCATCCCTCGGGACGTTTCAAGAGCCCCGTTGCACATTTAGCATTTTAGAACCACACCCGGCTCCTTCCGGCAAACTGTGCGAGCAATTTCGGGAGATTAATTCAACCGAAGGGTGATTTTTTGACAGACCTCTCGGGCAAAAGTCCGTGGGAGAACCAACAGCGGTTAGCTCTCTCTCTCTCTCTCTCTCTCTTTGTAATATTTGCACGGGGTTGTACTGAAAGTTGGCAAGAAATTGCACTTAGTACCCGTAAACGAAAAAAAGAAAAGCTTGATGTAGCGTATAGGAGTGCAGGGAGGGGATGAGCTTCTTTTTCCCGATCATAAATCAAAACAGCTGGCTCGACTATATGGCGCTCGGGCGGCGACGGCGGGGATTTAATAGAAAAATAAACAGGCCCGCCCGGAAAGTTTCACCTGAATCTCATCATCGTCGGAGCAGCTCCTCCTCCCAAGTACCGCCCCGAGCGAGCGACTTCTTCCGCGAAGGTCCCGCTCCCCCACTGACTCTATCGAAATTCAATTTGTCAAGTTTGTCTCTGGGAACCCTTCCGTCTCCCCTTTACCACCCCTTTTCCAGGAAACCGCGAGATATCACCCAAACTACCCGTAGTTGGCCCCCGATTGTGCTAATCGCTCCTTGATCCATCGCGCTAATTACAAATATGTGTACCACATGACCATTCCAACTTTATATCAATTCGATGTTTCGGATCGCGGGCTTGATAAAAATAATGGAGGGAATGAAAAAAGAGGGTGGTCGGCCGTTAAAGCAGAGGTATCAGCCGCAAATCCTCCCTTCTCTCGGGCTGGCTATACACCCCCTTTTTCACGTCGCCACGGGTCGTCGATGACCTTTTTTTTTTTTTTTTTCTTCCTTTAAACCCCTTTCTCTCTAGCTTCTCCCGCGCCATCCCACCGCGATATTGAATTTCGATTCCGGGGACGACGGCGTGCATCTATCCGTATAAACGGTAGAGATGCGCCAATGGAATCCAAAGCGGGGCGTATATACGTGCATGTATGGAGCGGGAAAATCGAGAGTAAGTAGTGGCCGTATGTGTACACTTGCGCGTCCGCCCTCGGCAAATAGGAGGCGGACAGTAGTCGCGATGGCCGCTCGTAACTTCTCGTCCCACGGGGCTTTCTCTCAGGGACCGGTGGGAAAATACACCCGGTGACAGGATGAAGTGGAGAAAGCCTCGGAGGAACGGGACGGACAGAGAAAAGGGGAACAAAGTGCGCTTGCTTTTTGTTCGGGGGAGGGGGTGAAAAAAAAAAGGATTTCCAATCGAGCCGTCAAAGGCGCTCTCTCTGTTTCGGGAGGCAATTCCACAAATCACGTGGACGATGATTAAGCAGCGGGTGCGACTCGTGTGCAAAATTTAACGTGCGCTTCTTCGGTGATTCGTGGACAGCCCCCCTCACCCCGGGTTTACGTGACAACCCATCGCGAGCTGGACGTACGTGTTATCTCGTTTGCGCATCAAACGCGAATGAAACTTTCCATTTATTTGCGCTTATATCGGAGCAGCTTGGATTTATCGTGTACAGGCATGCTCCTCTTTTTTTGTCCTCCAACCTAACAAGATCGATCGGCTCTCGGGTTTTCCAACTTTTGCCTCGCGGAGCTTTGGCAGGGAATGATATTGATGAGCGGGCGCTCCTCCCCCGTTGGGTGGGATTTTCTTTTTTCCCCCTGCTCTCTTCCCCGTGTTGTTTTTGTTCGCTTTTCGTCCGAGCCAGCCGAGCGCCGGGCTCCGCGTTTGATTTAGCATGCAAATTTCATGCGAATTTCATTAATGAATTATGGAACCCGAGCCGGGTGCTCGGTGGGTCTTTTTTTTTCTTTTTTTTAATTTTTTTTTTTTTTTTTTTTTTTTCCATCATGAAAAAGTTTTCAACCCTTTTTGAGACAACTTCACTTTGTAAAGCTTAATTCACGTTCAACCAATTTGGTGCAAAAATTTAAGACGAAGNAATAATAAAATATTTTTTTTCTTTCAAAGACCTTTGCTCCGCTCCTTTTTGCGGCGAGTGAGTAATTTTTTCAACTGCGAGTTACACTCAATATAGGTACTGCAAACGTCAAGTATATACCTATCCTTCGTTGATGGTTTAGTTTGAAACAACATTAAACGTAGATTGTCCACTGATTAGGACACGAGTCGAAAATGTATGATGTATATATGTATGTATTCGATTCGAGGGAAGGATGACAGACAGCACTAACGAACTGGGTTTTGTTTCGGCTCGTTACAGCTGACAAGTTGCCGAAGGGCTTTCCGATGATCACGCAAGCGCCGACGACGAAAGTCGTTGAGGTCAACCACAGCGTTTTGCTGCCGTGCGCTGCCGTTGGCTCACCACCGCCCATCATATCCTGGGTGAAGGACATGCTGCCCATCAACACCTCCAATCCGCACTACATGGTCCTCGAGTCTGGTAAGTCGACGCTCTTTTTTCACTCCATTTCACAATCTAACTAATTGTCTTGTATAACGTGAGTATTCGCACTAATGATTGCGATTAAATGTTGCCGTTGCCCGAATTTTTCTATTTATTCCATGAAAAATTGCACCACAGCGGTTACTTTCCTAAAAATTTATTTAAGTAAGCATTGGGAAAAAGTATACGTTTTGCATCTTTTAGTGTTAAATCCTCATAATGGAGCGTATATATATACATATCGTGCACTCTCTTATCCGGCCTATACCGGGGGGTATGGGTGTACCGAGTGCGCGTATATTATGCGCCATGCTCCATTTGATGGCAGAGTTCCAGAGCACTCTCGATGTACGTACAAAAAGAGGCCGTCGAGGAAGCGAGCGAGCAAATATCCATTTCGAATCCCCTTGGCGTGAAAATATGGAAAAATATCCGTCCATTCTTTACTTTTTTTCTCTCTCTCTCTCTCGTATTTTTTCGACGTGAAAGTTCAACTTTTTTGCGGGACGAAATATCGTCAAATTTTAATCGCTTGGAACTATATGGCCGATAAGCAACGCTCAATGGTTCAGCCCCCGATGGATAAATCATGTGCATGTGTGTTTGAGTGATTTGTGTGTCAGTACAAGGAGCTCGTGGAGCACTACAGGACACTGCAATAAGACAATAACATTTTTTCAGAGAGTATTCAGTAACAGAGTTAACTAAATCAGTGCATGCATTATTTTTTTCTGTTTCTTTCGTATTTTTTTATCCGCTGAATGTCCTTTTTGATGATAGGTCACCGTAGGAATACATCACTTGTTATTGACAAATTTTATGAAAAAATGCAACAATTTCTTAGTGAAAAATCTCACAGTAATTTCTCCCGTGAGTTCATAATGACAGTCTCAATATTAATTTTCCTAGTACTGAATTTTTTTTTTAATTTTTTTATTTCAAACACTGATTCTCAAATTCACGACAAAGAAATAATATTTCTCGTACGAGCTTATACGCGCGTAATGTATTTTTAATGTGTTTATTCTAATATTCTTGTAAAGCATCACATCTGATACCGATGAAAAACGATTTTGTTTCTCTATGCAGGGTTTTCAACACTAATCGTTTTCACGTCCTTGTATTTTTATTCAACGAAAGCGCGCCGATACGAATCTAGATCATAGCCCTCCAATGACTTTTTCCGCGTCGTTAGAGCCTTTCTTGGGAGTTTTACCATCGCCCGACCCGATACGGGCAAAACATCACAAACAAACAAACAAACGATTGGAGTGTACGAAACGAGCCGGGGTGAAATCAATCAACATCCTTCCCGGCTCCGAAACTTCCTTCTAAGTGTGCTTGTGTTCGCTCATACGCGGTTACCCAGCACGCGAAACTCGTCCGCGCGATGTACGAAGAAAGATGTAATGAATAGATAAACCGGCCGGGCGGGCCCTGTACCGCTATCTCCGCGGAGAAATCGAGCTCCACTCGAATAAGTCACTGTCGAGCTGCGGCCGATCCATATTGATACACCCACACCCCGACTGGTGGGTATATATATTTACATCTCGCAATACCGAAGCTCCGCTCATACGTCCGCCGTGCGGTGCACACCCCCTGTAACTAGCTCAGCCGTCGTCGTCCTTATTCAGCAGCAGGTCCGGCCGACTTGGCTCGCTTTCCGATCGAATTAAGCTCCGCTGCGCCGGACTGAAAATTGACTTGCGATGTACGCCGTTGCTGGCACGTCGCGTGTGTTTTTAGACGTATACCGGGGCGAGGATCGATCGGCGTCCGTAACGATGAAACTCGAGATTCGCCGTTCGAGGACTGGAGCCCCTTCGCTCGCTCTGCTCGGTTATTACGAAATCTTTTCTCCCCTCGAAGAGCCGTCGGTATCGCGTTTCCGGCTGACCTGCTGATACTCATGTACTTGACTAATATTCGTCGCCCGAAAATCACCAACACCTCCTTCCCGTACGTGCGTGTAGTGTCCGACGATCGACCAGGACATTGTTTCTCGTCATCGAATGAATGAGGTTTTACAAGGACTTCCGATGGACGCGCGTTCACGTATACCGATTTTACAACTAACGAGTCGAGCATGAAATACATCGTGGATGTGTAATCGTTGCACCCAATTGCAATTTTTCCGGATTTATTTAAAATCAAAGGATTGTTTTTCTATACATGCACGCGGAAACATATATATAAATAATACCACGCATTTACTTTGTACGTAAACATTGCGTTTATTTGTTCAAACGTTTTTAATTAAATGCAGTAAGTTTGTCATCGGTAAACACTCGACATTCAGAAAACTGTATGAATTCACTGGTGGCACATTCGTGTAACAGTTTTCTTACGACATAACATGGGTGCGGTCGAACATTTTATAGCCAATAGTGCAGTGCTGCTATACGTGTCATCAAAATCGCGTTCGTTTATAATCGAATCCGTTATTGGGTATACGCGCGTCTGGTCTATTTACGGTCTCGGGCGACCAAATCGCTCTGGGCCGCCAGTATATTTGTATTCAGTTGCACGCCCTACTCCGCTGCCATTATCCCGACCTTTTACGATAACGCATTATGGGCCGCGACACTTTCTTTTCCCTCGCATTCTTCCATGCGCCCTTGGCGAAACGAAGAGGCGGGAAAAGTGAAGTTGACAATCACGTTAAATAACGGCGAAGGGCCATCCCGCGGACTTTTCCCTCCCGCTCTTGTTTGCCTTTTCCATTTGTGTGTGTGTATATATATATATGTATGTATGTGGGTGTGTGCACGGTGTTGGGTTCGAGGAAGGGTATACTCGAGAGTTTGTTATAGTTGGAATGGCTCTTGAAACGTATACATACGTGTATACATGTGCCGGAGGGATTCAACGTAAACAGGTCACGGAGGGTTGCAATTGTTTCGCTGATCCATTCGCTTCGAAGAAAAAGCCTCGCGTTTCGCGAGGAGGGGCACACTATATTCGTTCAAAAGGATGATAATGCAAGTTGACGGTAGGGGTTTTTTCTCTTTTTTCGCAAATAAATTGTGTTTCAATCGAACGTCGGAGATTTGAGAGAAACTAAATGCAGCATGGCGCGAAAGCAAAGGCAAAAAAAAAAGGGGAGCTCCAGCGGGGCACAGTCGAGCAAACTAAAAATTGCCTGCGGAGCCGAGGGCAAGGATAAAAACCGAATGTAGCGCGGAAACGTGAGCCGCATTTACGTACACATACACACATATATAGCTACACGCGTCGAAAAAAGAGGAAAAAAAAGACAGGGCAGGCGCCGAAACAAGCTCTATATGCCCCGCAGTCGTGCTCCGGCCTGTACACAGCTCGTATTCTCACCGCACGCCCGTGGCGCCCGTTTTCTAATGCGCGAGAAGAGTCGAGGCGGGTGAAATAATAAAGGAAAAAAAAAAGGAAGCATCGTCGCCACCACCAGCTCGACATGCGAAGTTGCGCACTGCTGTGAAGGCGGAAATGAGCCGAGAGTAACTGCAGCGTAGCAGCGAGCGAGTAACTTTGCCGGGCTGTACAAGAATCTGCTCTCAGCGATCTTTCCTCTTCGTAGCCCCGAGATATGGAAATTCACCCGACCTCTTCCTTTTTTTTCTTTCGTTGCATCTTTTTGCCCCTGTTTTCTCTGCAACGGTGTGTCTAGGTATGCCATTTCAGTTGTTTTACTGCACTCGTTTCCTCCACCCCCGATGGAAGTTGATTCGCCTTTAGCTGTCGGATCGCTCGCCGGCTCGGGGCAAAAGTAATTATATCAAGTCACGTATCGAAAAACACGAAGCGAAAAACATATCGCGTTCAATGATGCGCAACTGTATACGTACATGTGATTCCGTGCGAATGTATTTACACACACCGTGCGCTGCAAAATGAAATATTTGTATATTGACGCGCCCTCGAGGATCATCGGTACGCGCTCTCTTATGGAGTTATCAAACTTTTCGATCTCGAATATCAAAAGCTTTCATGCGTACCCTGTACACACACACGAAAAAACGCCGTATAAAATGTGCGTTTGATCCAATCTAGCTCGCGGAGCGTCGCCGGATAAGCCCTCGCTTCGGTCAACACGCCCAAAGTACAAGTCCCACGCTATTTCCCTTCATTCCCCCTTGCAAACAAAACGAGCCGGACGCGAAAAAGAGGGAAAAAAAAAAAAATATTTACCAATCGCGATTATCCGAGAACAAATTTGCAGACACAAAGATACATGTATACATATCTCCGTACAGGGTGAGGGGGAGGGAAGCAGTTGCCACGCCAAAACGAGAAATTAATTGTTTCATTTCGGCCACTGGGCATCGCGTACTCCGAGCCAAATAATCGCACGCGATTAAAGTCGTAAAGGGAGAATTACACGCTCACGGAGCCCCGAAATAGCGAGAGTTGAGTCGCCTAAAGACACGACGCGCGGCCTCAGTGAATATGTACGATGTGCTCCTGTAGCCGAGTTTTCGGGATCAGCCGAGTGAAGATCACCGCGCGACGGAGACAGGGGGGAGGGGCTGAAACTTGATACATATTCGTGAATTATATTGAACTCCGGAGCGAGCGAGCCAGTTAGCTCCGCGGGAGTGCGATTCTAGGGAACACGTGTTTGATACCGGCGGCCCGTGTGTGTGCGTAAACTCGCGTCGGAACTCGCGTAACTCCTGGGGAGCCCGACGTCGTAAGCAGTGTTGTCGAAACTTCCGAAACGTCGACGACTTACTTTTTAACAAGTGTATACCTACTCGGGAGAAATACTTACCTCGATGCCTCGACGCTACTCTCGAAGTGCAAAGGACACTCGCCTCGGAGCTATACAGACGCGAGTTTACTGGTATAAAAATTAATTTGCTCAAAAAGCTCTTTGATTATCGAAGGAAGGAAGGAAGGGAATGAGGGGACAAAATCGTCCCGATCGAAAAAGCGCCGCTTGCAAAACTGATTAGGGAGAATTTTCGCGCCAAGTAGTAAAGTCCCGCTGTAGTCAGACGGGCAAGAGCACGGAG